TCAAACATATGTAAGAACTAACAACTAGTATTTGGTACAAACAGAGAAATTTGCAACAGAGAATTGATTAGAGCCCCTAAATTGTTTGTAACATCAAAAATAAATCTGATTTTCATTCCATGTATAAACTTAGTTTCACTATTTTCATAGTCCTCAAAATTCTCATGGGAAGTAGTATTTCTTTTGTCTTAGAGAAATATGAAAAAATTGCATATCATCTTAATTCTACCAAACTCTTATGATCATACTAAATATCTTGATCAAGAGTGAAAAATTGTCTATAAAAGTCAGGCTACTTGGCTATGAGAAAAAAAATGTATATAGTTTCTTTCTTTCTTTCTTTCTTTTAATAATCAGGATAGGCCTTTTTTATGTTACTTTCCTAAGAATGCATTGTGCTAAACTAACTGACATTGCTTTTAAAATGAACATTATATGCATGCAGTTAAGTCCATTATGAAAATAGGAGATGTTTTCAAATCAGAAAATAATAAATACAAGTGTGTAGACATCACTTTCAATAGCCTAAGATTATCTGCCAATATATGAGCTTCAAATGTACAGGAGGTACTTTGTGATTGCCTTGCAGAACATATAGATATATTACCAGGTCAAAAAATATGACCAGAGTCCTGATCATTGATAGCTAGTATTTTACTATCTTTTAAGATATAATTAGATTCTGAATGGTTACATACATGAATACTCTCTCTCATATGTTGAATTTTTATGTGCACAATGAAATTTTGTTACAATCAGGTGATAGTTATGGAAACTGAGCTTAATTTTGCTTGATTTATAAAAGGATACATTAATTTCTATCTCAGTGGCTTTGATTGGGAGATGCATGATGAAATGAGATAAAGCATGAAAGGTTCTACAAAGAAAGTAGAGGCATATATAGTTGGTTAAGTAAGGCAGAACTGCATATTAGAAAAAAATGGGGTTTTCAAGTTCAGTTAAGAAAACTCATGTACTGTTCACAATATCAAAATGCTGTACTTTAAGAATGTTTACTCATTAATTGTATGATCCATAATTTCATCTCAATGTAGGAATTGGGCTCAAATGAAAGTGTGCTGATGTGAGTGTATGTATATATGTGTTTTGACAGCATGAAGTGGTACTGTGGAGACAGGACTATGTCTATATTTATTGTTAAATGCTCCCTCATTCTGGTCAAATTGGATGTGCTCCAAGTGTAGTCCAAACATCAAGAATCATCATTAATAATACTTCTATTTCCCTCAATTTTTATTAAGGAACAGAATATCTCTGTCCTCTATTTCAGAATAACATGAAAATATATCAGTAGCTATGCAAAACCCTTGCTCTAGATAATTGCTGTAGAATACCAGGGGGTTAGATTTAGCCTCATCTACTAGTACTTGACTAAATGTCATATGGTTAGAAAAGGAACATAAGAATGAAGAACATGAGCCATACAGAATTTTTCTACACATAATTTAAAATTCTTTCCAGTAAAAATCACATTTATCCAAACAATAAAAACAAAATAAAAATCAAATACAAAAATTGGTGATTACTACATAGTCAAGTTCAGAATTGTCTAATATTGTAATGGTAGAATGTGAATCACTTATTTATGAAGGCTAAAAGACAAAATTATTAAAAATAATAGCTGAAATAATTTGTCAAGATTTGCACTAATCATCAGGAAAATGACAAAAAATAGTGATAGTGAGATATCTATTACCTTATGTTCGATAGAATGACTATTATTAACAATTAACAATGTTATTTATTAACAATGATAACAGTAATAAATTTTGGTGAAGCTGTGGAAAAAAGGGAGTGATCCTATATATTCAGCAGGAATGCAAATTTGATAGTAGTCATGGACAAAGCATGAAAATTCTTAAAAATTAAAAATGGAATTATTATATGATCCATGAATTACATTTCTAAATTTATGTAAAGCAAACTTAAAATCAATGAATGAAGGTATAACTACACTTGCTTGTTCATTGCAGCAGTATTCACAATTACCTAAATCTGGCATCCAATTAAGTATCCATCAATGAATGAATGAATAAAGAAAATATAATATAAATACACACAATAGAATATTATTCATTTTCTGGAAAGAAGGAAGTCCTGTCATTTTCAACAGCATGGATTTTGTTAAGTGAAGTAAACAATGTACCGAAAGAGAATTGTTGCATCACATTTATATGAAGCATCAAAAATCTTTGAGTACATGGAAATAGAGAGTAGAAATGTGGTTACCAGTAGATAAGGGGCCTGGAAGTGAAGAAAATATTTATCACAGGATACAAATTTCAGACAGAAAAGACAAATTCAAGAGTTCTGTTGTATAACATGGTAAATTCAGTGTGATTCCATTAAAAATCACTAATAGAGTCAATTTTAAGTCTCCTTAGCAAAAAAAATTGTTTGTGAAATACATGTTAATTAGCTCAATTTAACATGCATGAGCTATACACATATACATGTATCTAAACATCATGTTGTACCTAATAAATATACATAATTTTTAATTGTGAAATAAAGAATAAAAATAAATTTAAAAAATCATTTCTGGAGCTGGATATATATCTCAGTTGGTAGAATGCTTGCTTTGCATACACAAAACTATGGATTCAATCCCCAGCACCACAAAGAAAAAGAGAAATTATTTCTGAGAGTGACCAGGAACAAACAAAAAAGATGAAAAGTATTTTTCTCAAGGTGACAGTTAAATTAACCTATGTTTTATACATTAAATATTATTTTATGTAGCATTTAACACATATGTACATATGTGCTTGTGTGTATATACACAGTAATGCATATCTATATACCCATACAAACTTTTCATTCTCTCCCTACATGTGAAATGCTCAAGCCTTTGTTAAGTTTTGTTATTTTTTAATTTTCTTTGGAGTTATGCAATTTAGTTTATTAGTACTGGTGAATAGCTGTTTGTTTTTCTATTGAGAATAAGTGTCATGGCTAAATTTGAGTTAGTCAACTTTGTTTAGAATTATAAAAAGCTTTTTAATTCACATTATTCCTTGGACTGAAACTAGAAAACCCTGTCTTTACGGTTTTAGTTAGGAGCCAAACACTTAAGGAACATTTGGAAGCCTGTGACCTCTTTATCACAGGCTTCCAAAATGACTGCAAAATGAAAATAAAACTAGTTCTTATGGTTTAGATCTGAGATGACCCCCAAAGCTCACAAATGAGACAATACAAAAAGGTTCAGAGGTGAAATGATTGGGTTGTAAGAGTCTTAACCCAATCAGTGATTTAATCCTGATAGGGATTAACTGAGTGGTAATTCAAATGGTAGGGTGTGACTGAAAGAGGTGGCAATTGAGGCATGGCTCTGGTGTATATACTCCTATCTGGCAAGTGGAAATCTCTTTCTCTCTGTTTCCTGATCATGAAGGAGCCATTTTCCTCTGCAGCTGAACCCAGAGGAATGGAGTCTGCTATCTCTGAATTGAGACCTCTGAAACTGTAAGCACTCAAATAAACCTTTCCTCTGCTACAATTGTTTTGGTTGGGTCCCCAAGTCTCAGCAGTGAAAAGGCTGACTAAAACACTAATATTTATATCAAATAAATTTATATTATTAGAAAAAATAAGAAAAGAGAAAAAAAGAACAAGAAAAACCCAGACAGAATTCAACTGTGGTCATTTAACCCTTTGTAGCAGTCCCTAAATGAAGCCTTTGGGTCAAAGTGAAGCAGCCCTTCATTCAGTGGCACTTTTAAAACATTTCACTGGTCCATATGTTCTTTGAAGAATTTTCAAGTGTGAATTTGTTTTATTGGTTTTAACCATGTTGTCTAATAGTGGTCGTAAAGTTTTAGGAGGGAAAGAAAAAACAATTATTTTGAAATAGTACCCAGATTTAATCTTTGGAAGATAATAATAACAAAAAATCAAAAGAGATAAAATCTTAACAATTTTTGTTTCTTTTACAATTCTAATTTGTGTTCCCTTATTTTTGTTTATGTTTGCTAGATTCTTTACAGGATCAATTTAGCTGGATATAGCACAAGATAGACCAGGTGAGAAAGCATATAAGAATGTTGAAATGGGATTTTAAAAAAGAGAGAATTTTTTTTAAGCAGTGTCTCATTATGTTGCCCAAGGAAGTTTTTAAACTCATAAACTCAAGCCATCTTCCTACCTTAGTTTCTCAAGTAACTAAGACTATGGACATTGCACCATGAAGCCCACTTCCATAGTTAGCTTTGTCTTTATCTAATAGCTACTATAGGATGGATCTGTTATGCAGTCAATTGATCATAACCTAGATGAGCTGCCAGTAACACTATTGGATTGCACAAAATAATGGGATAAATTAATAGAGAGAATAATGGGAGTTTCCTGAGGCCAAGACCTTCTAAAACTATCTTCTTTTTATCTATGTTTTCAAGTGCATGGATGTTTTATACTAGCAAACGCTAGGCTTTCTTGAGGTTACAGAAAAATCTTGGGTTGTTGTCACTTCTTGTACTTCAATTATCATGATCAAACCCTATGCCTACATAGGATGATCAGTTCAGAAACAGAATTCTATGACTATATCAGTCTCACTGCTATAAACTGCCACACATGACAAAATAATGGAGTCTGTTCTGAGTGGTTTTAGCTGGAATAGGCAAAGCATAACCAGAGGCAAGAAGATTGAATTCAGTTACATTTTGGGATATTTATTTGGTTTCATCATGAAGCTTCTAGTCTGGAGCTTGCACATATTTCATGTGTGTGCATCTCTCTCTTCTCTCTCTCTCTCTCTCTCTCTCTCTCTCTCTCTCTCTCTCTCTCCTGTGTGTGTGTGTGTGTGTGTGTGTGTGTGTGTAATGCTTAAGGCCTAATTTAATTTTTTAAGTGCCTGTTTTACTTAAAAAAAACCTTTACCTTAAAATTTCAGTGATTAGGAGTCTACAATATTCAAAATTATATTTTATCAATAAATTTAGTGAATAAATTATGATGTGATTTATAAATGTTCTTACCTTTACATCTTTGACATTCATCCTTGTTCCCTCCTTCCCAACAAAGATGTCATCAATGTCCACAAGGATGTACCTATCCAAGGACAATGTCAGCCTCTTCCCTGACAAGAAGGAGATGGCATCTATGAAGATGAGCTTGTGTAACCAAAAGTTCAAGTTGTTGCCAAAAAGAACTCGCTGAATTCCATCATGAAGACCTAGGTCCTGAATTACAGTCGCATAGAGTATTTTGCTAGACAAGGGTGATGGGGATTTTTCGGTCTGTAATTCAGTTAAAAGGACAGGCTGGTAGGTTGAATGATTATATTGGAAAACAGTCCAGTCTTCCCCAGGAAGAGGACCTTTCTCAACCTTGGGGGCTTTGGTAATATGCAGCAAAGGAGACTGAGGATTGACAAAACAGTCCTTCAGAGCTAGATTATTGAAGAGGTTTAGTGGAAAGCCTTTCAATTGTGTACTTGGCAAGATGTTCTCATTGGCTTTATGAAAACCGATTATACTAACACTGTATTCCACACAGTATTTTTCTAAAAGCTCTCGGTTCCATGAGTCCATGCTAACATATTTCAGGATATTTTCATAAATAACTAATGTGTACTTCCCTTTGCCACTGTCTGTAAGGGGAGGTATATCTCCCTTGCCAGGGGCAATGACCATGTGGTACTGAAATCGGCTGGACTCCAAGATAGCTATGATATCTTGACCGAGTTGAGAGTACTGGCTCTCCACAAAGAGGAGGATGGTAGGGTCAGTTTTGGATGTATCGATAGGTTTCACTGTTTTCAGCTCCATTGACCGATAAGGTAGAATTTTGATGTCAGCACATTCTGCTTCTGCAGTGGTTTCAATAAGGGCCATTTCCTGCTTGTAGCCAGAGTAGAGGAAATAGGCAGAAATGACAATGCTCACCAAGCAGAAGGTTGCTAAGAGAACAATCAGTGTTCGAAAACTTCTCCGAAGCTTCACAATGAGATTCATTTTTTAAAATAATGCTTTGGAAACTTTTTCCAACTTCTTTTCCTTAAATTGCCATAGTAAATAAGGTATGAGATGGTGCAAATACCACTTCCCAAAAGTTCATGTAACCATTGCAAATCATGTAAAATATTTGAAGGGATCAAAAATGAGTTAAAGCTGGAAGGCAGTGAAGCAGGAGAGCAAAAGTTGAAGGGATTTTGAATATGTCCAATACCAAGAATTGCTGCAGAATCCTCTAAGCATTATCTGAAAAAGAGGATAAAAATAATAACCAAGAAAAATAGGAATATAAGTATTTATGTTTACATATATGCTTGTATTTAAGAAATATATATTCAAATATAATATTAGTCTGTTAATATGCTAAAATATTAATAGCATGATGTTTATAGTCTAGAATTTATTACTTAGACTAGATTTCTCCATGTTCTCCAGAGTGCAGAACCAAAATATTCGTATGTATATAAGAACACATAATGAGATCACGTTTCAACTGGTTCTCTCAAAATAGAAAAAGATTAGAAAATAAGCGTTAGTTTAAAATGTTAATTACCATAAAAATTGCTTCCTCAGGACCAGTAAATATTATAGATATATAATGTTTATATCCTATAGATATATAGGATTCGACAAGTAAGTACTTGTATGGGGCTTGGAGCAGAACAGCTTTTAAAGAATCTGCTTAAGTCTCTTTAGTGCCAAGCTAAGGGAATGATTTGTGTCTTACATTTTTAGCAGATACATTTTTTCCCTTTAATAATATATTCTCCATCTAGCCTCACAGAGACCCATGTGGTATATGTCCAAATATAGATAGGATTAACCCTATCCATTCCTAAAGGGAAAGTGAAAGAGACAATATAGGAAAAAGAACAAAAAAGGAAACAAGCATCTTTAGATCCCTTTAGTGAAACCAAGGCTAAGAAGCAAGACCAGAAGAAAAAGCTTGATTTTTCTCAAAGCACATTCTTAATTAGCCTTAATCCAATGATCAAAATTTAGAACTGAATTTTCCATTGTTAATTTTCATTCAAAAATCAAACATATGTGTGCCCCTTAGTTCAAAAGAAAAATAATGTAGAAAGCAAAAACAAAAAACTTTCCCAAACTGCTTCATCACAAGTAGATATGACAGCCCATTACTATTAGATTCTTTTCTTTGTATGTATGAAAGTGAATTTAATGAATTTCTTTCTAAACAAATTTTCTTCAGGGCCTCAAAACTGTGGTAGAGTGCTTAATTTTTTTTTTACATTTTCAAATTTGCCAAACTAATATCCCTAGAAAAATATTCCAAATAGTTCATGCTATTAGTTTTTGACATATACATTGTAGAAGTATGTCTATGATATACCATGTCACAGAGTATCAAATTTACACGTTTTGCTGTGAGTCATGTATTCCATGGTAAAGAGCAAAGTTTTTGGTTTCCGTATTTTATTTTTTAATTTATTGAGCTGAGTGATTCATGACTATTAAAAATTTGTGTCTATTAAATAAAATGAAAATATTGCTTTTTTAAATGTTATGTTCTAAAATGAAGTTTTATTTGTTAGTAATATGTTTTTTAAAAAATCAACAGTAAGTTGAAATGATTGTGTTTTTTACCTTAGATTTTCTTTTTCTTTTTTTTTTTTTTTTTGTAGTTTATATGGATACAATATCTTTATTTTGTTTATTTACTTTTATGTGGTACTGAGGATCAAACCCCATTGCCTCACATGAGAGAGGCAAGCTCTCCACTACTGGGCTACGATTCCAGCCCTTTACCTTAGATTTTTGAGACAATATTTTAAAATATTCTCAGAAGTTCACTATATGAAATTTCAAAATTTCTACCATATATTTTAAATATTTTAATTTGCAGATTCCAGATATATAAACAAATGTGAATTTGTCCCTATGAAATGCAGTGTGCCAATGAGAAATATTTTAAAGGGAAAATTATTTCTGCATGTTGGGGACTTACTGACACTGTTTCAAATAGAGTTTTTTAAGATAATTATTTTTTCTCCCAAAGCTTTTTAAATGTTTCAGTCTTTTTAAGTAAATCAATTGAATTCTACTAGAACAAAATGAAACATGGCAATAAAAAGACTTTGGTAAGTTTTAAAATATTTAAACCAATTATTTTATATCTTTTTGTGTACTTTTGAAATGTTCACAAATAAATTTAAAATATACAATTAAATTAAATATAAAAATATACACATATAAATATTGGAAAAAAATTGGAATTTGTCAAGAGTGATTATCCAATGTTATATTGCATCCATTTCTAGACTTCTAGCAGTGCATGTATATGATTTAAAAGTCCACCTAAGCAAACCCAGAAATGGCCCCATCCCAGTCACATTCCAAATGGTCCCACAAAAGCAAATATCCACTTAATCCACAAATGTTGGTAATTTGTTTAGTATTTTTAGAATAAATTTAATCAATAGATTTATAAAAAAGTAAATGTATAAGTTAATATTTCATTAAAGCATTACCTATTCTGATATAAAAATGTGATCTTTTGAATCATATGATCTTTTGAATACAAAAAGTACAAGATGTCAGTTTTGCATATTAGAACATCTCTTCCTAATATGCAATAGTGAAAAAGAAGGGAAAAAAAAGCATATGGGACTAGAATCTGCCAACCCAAAGAATAAGTAAAATTTAAATGTGACATTTATTTAACATTAATATGTTAGAATTAGAAGAATGACAGATACATATTATCACAACAGTAGATAAGTGTGTTCTCAGCATGTGTGTGTTTTAACTTAAGGACTTATCCTCACCATTCAAATTTTTTTATTTCTCCTTCCTTAAAAAAATGGCTATTAGAGGTACAGAAGACTGGATCATAAAAGGTGATACACCAGCAGTGTTTACTTATATTCCATATCTGAGATAAAAAATGGTAAAGGACATCGGAATGCCAAAGACATAGTCTGCTTTGTTTCCATCTCTTACCTAGTGTCTTATCTCCTAAAAAAGAAGAAAAAAATCAAGTTAGGGGATGGGGGTAGGTCAAGAGTAACCAATGTAAGACTCTTCAGTTGTCAATGGAAGTCAAATGAAACAACTGAGATCATTTTTCAAAAAAGACACACAAGTTAAATGAGTCAGATAAAATTAATGTCATTTATTTCAGGATAATAATGAAGACATTTGAAAAAAAAAAACTGCCCCAGAAATATAAAAACATGTAGCACATGATCTTAAGGACACTAAGGTAATATGCTAAAATTTTTATTTTATTTTAATCCAATGCTTTCTGCAGGATGAACCTGAGACCAGTTAGCAACAAATGGAAACATATGGGAGCTCTTTCCTTTCCTTTCACAGTGATGTCAATATTTTTATTATAGAATGTTTAGATAGTGTATGGCTTATTGAGTAAATTTCGTGTATGGAAAAAAAATAGTTTTTCCTTAAGCAGCACACCAAGTAAGTTAAATAGGCTTTGGTCCTAATTTTATAAATCTGACCTTTCATGTATTTGAATACTTCTGTTGTTAATTATTTGGAAAGGGAGACTTGCTATTGGTCATAACAACCTTTCCCAAAATGGGTTGCAAGATCCCTGTGTTGAGTCTGGTGAGGAGAAGAAGGCAAGAAGCTGAGCTCTTTGTTCTCACTCTTGGTTTTTATTTGCTTTGTTTTACATTCTAGCCTTCCAAGTGTCATTCATTCCTCAGTAGTAGTAGAATAAATATCTCCCAAAAGTTTTAACTTTTAAAATTAAATAATATAAATATATTATTGTTTTGTATATATATTTTAACATCAGTCCTTGACTTATTTTCAAAATGTGTTCAAAGATTCTCTAAAATATAGTTTGCAAAATACACTTGCCAATGTTTCTAAATCATTGTAAATCTTTTGTCATCTCTGGAAGCAGCAGGTAAATTAATATACAAAGCAATTATAAATACTATTATAGCTGTTGTTGTGTTTCACCCCTTTGGAAAAACAGAAATTCAGATGAAATCTAGGGGCTATAATTGTTAATATTTTTAAGTGGTTTAATGAAATCACCAAAGTTCAGCTGAAACTTTAACAATAATAATATTTACTATCATTTAACTACTTGCTAATAACTATGCTACATTTTTTGCTCTCCTAATTCTGTTTAATCATTAGCCCATTTTTAAAATGAGGAAATTGAGATTTAGAAGGTTTACAAAAGATGCTAGAGTAAACTACTAAATAATTGTGATCCTGGGCTGGGGTTCTATGTTCTTCCAGTTGAGAAAAATCAACAAGTTAGATGAAGCCAACCATTTGCCACTGAGCGTAATTAAATAATTTAACCACATCAGCAAGTTTTATTTCAAGTTTATAAATTCAAACATTCAAAGATAGAAATGTCTACCAAAAATACAGAAAAAAATATAGAAGCGGATCAATATAAAAAAATGCTATTTATGAGTGGGGATGACCTAAACATTTGCTGTAATTTGACCAGTTTTGACTTTACCCGGTACCTAAGGGAAGAATATTTGATCAATTACTTTGTTTCTACATATTTCATGAGTGTTTGTTTGCTCTCAGAAATCATGTAAAGAATCGACTCTTATCTCATACTAATGAAACAGTTTTTTTTTAAATAAAAATCTGTAATATAAACATTTAACCCTTTGTTCCCATATATCAGCAGTACTTTGGTGTGAGTTTCCAAATTTATATTTCTCTTACAAGGAAATGTTATATTTTTCAAATCACAGGTCTCCAGTACATAAATGAAATGAAATAAACAGAATAGACATATTGACATATTTCAAGTACTATAAGTATTCTATTATAAATCTTTAGCTTGTTAGTTGTGTGATTTTACATGTGTGTATATGTGTATCTGGATCCTAATATAAGTTTATTTTTTATGCTGGGTCAAGTACGTTTGAGAAACAGTAATCAAGAGGGAACACATGATTCAAAGTATTTAACATCGTTTTAAGAATATTATAAATATGATAGGTTTTAGCTAAAAATCAATGTGGTCTCTTAATTCTGAGTAGTTTCTGAAAATACTCTGAATTTATTCAATAGAAATTAGGTCTAGGTTGATATCAACTGGTTTAAATCCTTGGAAGTTCCTTTCAGCTTCTAGGCCACACTATATTCTGATATTTTTTCAAGCAACAACAACAAATTTTACGCTTACATAAATCACAACTTATTTTTTTTTCCAAAATGAAGGTACAAAGTCATGAGTAACTGTTACATTTAATCAGAATCAAATTAGCATGCTA